AAAATAGTCTCTCTGGCTGATTGTCAAAAATTACATCATATTGGAGTAAACTGCTTTTAAATCAAACATCCATTATTCATGTATATTAACTGCTTTTATTTATTTATTTATTTTTTACTGGCTGGTTTGTGCCTGATTTACTCTTTTTCTTTCTCTCTGATTGTTTGTTTGTCTCCCTCAGCTGCTCCTTTTAAATCTTAGCTCATCTTGAAATTTATGGAGCCAGAACACTTATCTCTGCGCACCAGTATCAATGCGCTGACCTTGCATTTGTCAACAGTCACATTTTGCTGCTGTTGTTGCCGTGCTATGTGCCACATTTACAGTAGGCAATTCAATACATTTGCACGGGGAAACTGTGCCCCTGAGGCTTGTAAACTTTGAAAATATCCCTTTTTCCACATCACTTGAGAAATAAAACTCAGCCTTGCCGCAGTCCGTACCATATGTTGTACTCAACTGGATGACTTCTGCCGCCAGTGCATGTGGAATAGCCTTACTGCTTTTGTAGGTACCCTTTGAATTGAATGGGTTTCACCTGTGCAAAACCCAGATCCCATTTAATTCATGGTGGACTTGAAATTTCAGGACCCTTTCTTTTGTTGGCAATATTTGTGTGTATTGTGCCTGTGTTCAGGTAGTGTTTTGGGAGGATTTTTCCGATTGGCAGAGGGATGGGCAGAAGGAAGAGGGGGAGAAACCTGAAATGAAGTGCAGATTCGGTTCCCAAAGTTGCTGCTTGTTTCTCTGTCTCTTTGAGCAGCTCAGGGTGTTCTTTTAATGTTTTCTTTTAATCCTCTCTCTCTAAAATGACAGACAGAAAACCTCTCTCCTCGACAGTTCTTTCTGGGAAAGTGCTTCTTCAAGTGGTTATTTGGTAAGGAAAGGGATGTAGGTTTTGAGTGTGGTTTTCCAGTATGCTCTTTGCCAATATTTATGATACTCCATTCAATACTTCATCTAAATAATAACTGCATATACTGTATATAGAGTGCTGTGCCCAGTTCTCAGGTCTTACTCAGTGGTAACTTTTGACAAGAAGCAGAAATGTGATTGCAGAAGGAAACCAGCTCTTTCACAATGCAGTTGTCTGCTGGCTCTCAGCCAGGACAGTGGGTTTGAACACCCCTGCTCTTGTTGAAAGTACCACAGGCTCTTTGATAACAAGTGCTTGGGGATTTGTTGTTTTAATGTTCCATCCAAAAAAGACATCTCCAACAGCACAGGATCCCAAAACACCTGCTGGGGTATTGGACATGCATGGAAGAGTTCCATCAACAGCATTTCCTTCAGTTCCTTGGTTTTTCTTGGAAGTATCTCAACCACACTACATCGACCACGCTTGACCTCACTTAGCTGCAAGATGTAACAAAGCTCACAGCTTAGCTGTTCTGGCTACAGAGACTTTAATTCTTTGTGAATTAATTTAGTCGTCCGGTTTGAGTTCTTGGACAGCATTTAGAGAGAGCTCCTCATACTCACTGCTCAGCAGCTTCGTGATGAGCAGTACCTTCTCCTTTCTTCCTCTGCCTGGTCTCCTGAGTTTGCCAGATTCTTGGTGCCTCTATGCACGAACAGTGGCCACAGGTTAAGACTTGCCCAGCTCATGCAGTAAAGAGGAAAATTAGTCTAATGCACTGTCTTAACAAAAGAGAGAGTATGAGCATGAATAATTAATACCTCTAGTCTGTGGCAATCGGATAAAATGAAGTCCCATTTGCTCAGCCTTATTAAAAGAGAGAGAGGGAGAGGGGGAGATGGTAAAGGTTGTTAAGGGACTTGTAACATGGAAAGAATCGCCTCCGAGATGGATAATGTGTTTTCTAATCTCTGTGGTCTTTAACTAAACATAATGGTGAAGGTACTCTGGCTATTTCTGGCTTGTTGAATTATTCAGCATTCTGGGAGATTGCCTGGCTCTCAGCCAGTAACGTGGACTTTTCATTTGAACAATGTTAATAGGTAACACTTTTTATTTGTGCGTTAGATCCTGATACATCTGCACAGAGTATTTAATGCTCTTCCTCCCCTGTGTCCCTGCAGTCCCTCTGGGGGAAGGATGCTCGTTAGAGTGTTATCCCAGGGCACTTCATTTCACACCCAAATGCTCTTGGTTCACTTACCTTCACTTCGATACCTATTAGGTCACTGGGCTTGGCTGTCCATTATAGGATTATAAATACCTTTAAAAGGGTAATCCCTTTGCAGTGTGCATTATAGGATTATAAACCTCCTAAAGATCTTATGCTTTATCTGCCCTTTAACATGCAGGCCCTTATTTCAAGTCCCTGTTGACCAGGTATTTTCATTATTTCTCCTTGGCCTTTGTAAAGAAAATCCTTGTTGCCTTAGGATGCTGTAGGAGAGCTCATCAGAAGTGTTCTAGCAACTTCAGGACTGTCATCAGTGTGCTTTTAAACCCCTGTCTTCAAGCAATTATTATGCAGACTTCAAGAAGCATTCCGAGTTCTTTCTGTTTCTTTACCTGTCAGTTTGTCTAGGTGAGGTTTTGGAATTCATTTGCAGGCCATAGAAGCACTCAGGACAGAAGTTGAGTTTAAAGATGGGCAAAACCTGGATGTGGAAAATAATAAAGGGAGTCTTTCTTCCAACGATCGAAGTATTGGTTACAAATACACACGTGCATCAAAACTAACCCAACAGTCTTTAAAAGAAGGGAGACTGACATGGGGAAAGAAGGAATTGGAGGGAGTAGAAGATAAGACAGAATCTTTCCTTCCAGTTTTGTGGATCTGAACCTTTCCTTTTCTACACTCTCATCCTTAAATGCAGACACTTTAAATTGGTGCCCACCTACAAGTTGTGTGAGAAGAAATAAATAATGCTTTGGCTGGTGCTACCTACATGAGGATTGCCACAGGTCTAAACTGGAGCATTCAAGCAGGAGAAGGTGTAATATTTGCCCCAGTGTGTAAAACAGGGGAGTCTTTAAATGCTGTATGGAAGCAATTTTTCATTGTAGTCTTTCACGGCCATAACTGAATTTTCAAGGACGTATCATATGTTTATAGGATAGATGGGAGCTATGGGCATTTAGAGAAATTAATAGTTTATGGATGTTCACTTTAAGTATTAGCCCCAGGGGACTTTGGAGAAAAGCAGCATTTGTCCCTCTCTGGAGTTTCAGTGTACAGCTGGGAAGGGCTGGTTCACAGCCTCAACTGGGAGCTGGAACATGTTGCTCTTGACCCGAGCTTTTATTGTTCCTAAGTTGAATTCAGCAGTTTATTGACTTTGTCTTTTGTTCCAAACTTTCCGAGGAGAAATTTGGTTGCCAGGCACAGATATTAATTTCCTTTGCACAAGGTACCTTGCCAGAACATCATTATCTCTGGGTTTGGTTAGTGGGAAGCTGTGCTGCAAGTGAGAACAGGTTGTAAATTGGTCTTTACCTTCAAGACTGATGTTTTCAGGCAGTTTGTAGCAACTTTTTCATAGCTATGGAAGTTTAAATTCGTGTTTAGCCACATTTATGTCCAAAGTCTCCCTGCAAAGCTGGAGTCTGCCTTGCTTTACAGAGCTTGGGTAAAATTGCTGTAATTTTGAGGGTCTTGAGGATAAAAACTGCATGCTAAAGATTGCTGCTTGAGGCAGCTTCACAAAGACAAGGCTGGGAAAGGGAACTACTTGGGAGATTATTACAAGCAACTGAGGAAGTCAGGTATGAATGTGTTGATTCTAGGGGGGAGCTGATAACATGTCTGAATAAAACTGTGCCTGCTCTTTAGCTGGGAGAAAAAGCAGGTGGAGGAAACCTGCAAATTCTCTGCCTTTCTTTGCTGTATTCCAAGACATTTATGAAGCTTTAATCCTATTGCCTAGAGGCATCCATCACAAAATGATCCCCTCCTGCTCTCTTAACTTGACATTTCAGATGCTTACTGGAATTGCAGAGATAGGGAGTAAAAGGCTGTGTCACTACCACTGCTGTGGCAAATGTAGAAATGATATGTACAGATAGTGGAATATTTATTAAGCTGCATGTGGATAAGATCAGAAAAGCACAAGTTAAAAATACTGATATATCCTTGACATAGTCGTGCTGATGTTGCCCTGGAAGCCCTAAGTTCTGTCTGAGGTTTTAACTCCCATTGCTCTTTTCATGGTCACGGGTTTCTTTTAAATTAAAGGAGCATCACCATGAAATTTGGTGATGTTTATGGAGTTATGGAGGCCCAGGTGCTGTGCTGAGCTCCACTGGGCTATGACCAGTACGTTTCTCTGTTTCTAAAAGTATTTGCTCTGCTAAATTGAAAAGCCCAAGTAACTGAACCTCATCTGGCCCCACAGGAGAGACAGTGAACGTGAGTAAACTGATCACTGCGCACTGGAGAGGCAGCTGAACAGAAGGGAGAGAGCACATACCCTCTTCCAGGCTCTGGTCGAATCATCTTGGATGTTGCTTAAATCAGACTTGTTTTTATTCCTTCCCCATCTGAACTGCCACTTGAGATGTAATGTTTCTCTTTATCTGTTTGTGCTGTGATCTGTACAGAAGCCATCAGCAGGGCCTGTCAGCGCTGCGGCGGTGTTTGTTCAGTTCTGCTCTTCCATTTGTGCTGTATTTGATTGAATCTTTCTTGCAGAGTCCATCTGTCTAAACCTTCAAAATGTTAATTTTGTTTACCTTTACTCTCTCAAATATTAAAATTGCTGAAGAAACTGTTTGCTTTTCCATGGAAGCCTTAAAACTCTGAGCTGGAGAAAATCCCCATGGCTTCTTTTGCCTGCCTGAGAGCTATACCTTCTGATAGTGGTTGGCAAGAGCCTTGCATCCTTGCTTCTTGATTCTTGATGACTCCATTGTGAAACTTGATTTCCTTCTTTCTGAGGGTGTTGTTGCCCTTCTTAACAGGGGTAGTTCTGTATCTTGGTTGTTTACCATCTCTGATGGTAAGAACTCTGCTTTGCTTCACACGGCAGCAAAATGTACTTGTGCTCCTGCTAAATTTAGCCAGTGTTTGTTCTCTTTCTACCAGATTCTTCTTTACAATCTGGAAACAAGTCAGTGTCTGAAGAAGATGGGGAACTCCATAGGTGACTTTACCTGTGTCAACCTCCAGAACAGTCCTCCAAACATGCTTGTAACAGGCAATAAAGACAGAAGGTAGGTACTACCAAGATCTGTAACCCATCTCAAATTAGCTTACTTCTATCCTGCTGTCCTACATCTGGACCTGCTAGAATTTGTTTCTCCTCTAATGTTTCAAAAGCAGCCTGCATGAACTTCAGGAACAAAATATTAGGTAATAGTTGGATGTGGCTGCCAGTTTGCTTTGTTTCAGAAAGCTCCATGGGAAGACTTTCTTTTTAAGCCATTTGGTGGACGCAGTTGGTGTACGGCCCAGCGAGACCACTTGGAATCTCTTCCACTTCCCCACCACCACCCGCAAAATGAGTTTGGCATTTAAAAGCTCACTTTCTGATATTAAAAAAATAACCTAAGGGATGAATCATGTAGGATGAGATGGGTCCGTCTGCCAAATGATGTCAAGAGTGTATTTCGGAACACTGTGATGTCCCTCAGGTGACAAAAAAAAGAGACTTTCATATGAACAGATTCCAGCTTCTATTTAGCTGATTAGCAGCTTTCTCTTTAACTCCTTGGCTTGGGGAGTAGGATTTTCCCAGCACAATATCTGGTGCCAGGATTGGACGCGCTGGGAACAGTCAGTGCGAAAGGATTAAAGTGCTTAAAAAGACCCTTTGAGTCCAATTTTTAGATTTTCTTTTTTTGGCTAGTTATTTGTGGGGTCTGATCCAGTGCACCAAAGGAGATGTGGGATGGCAAGGAGCCAGTCTCTAATGGCTCCCTGTTCCTTCCCTCCTCCTTTCTGCACTGGGCATCGGGCTGCAGGTGGTGGTCTGGTGTGGTGGTGGGTATCAGATTGTAAGGCGGATACTTCCCTTTGCCAAATCCCAGACCTCTGTCCCGCCAGTGCAGCAGCTTGCAAAAATGATTATTTTGTCAAACAGCTTTTTTTCCTTCTCAGCAAATAGGCAGCGCAACCAAAACTCACACTTCCTCAGCAAAGAGGTTAAGGAAATAGCTGAAGTTTGACAAGCGTAATTGAAACCGCGACATTTGGGGGGTTTTCTTCTTCTAAAAGCAGATAATTGAGTCTCTAAAACACCCCAGTAAAACCACCTCCAATTTTGATCTCTTGCACAATGATGGGAGAGTTAATAAAGTTGATGTAGAATCATAGAATAGTTTGGGTTGGAAGGGACCTTCAGAGGTCGTCTGGTCCAGTCCCCCCTGACGGAGCAGTTACATCAGGTTGCCCAGGACCCGCATCCGGCCTTGGTATCTCTTAAGTGAGGTTGAAATTTATTCCCTTTGTACTAAATGTCTGTGCTCTTTCCCCTCCAGAAGGCTCAGTTTTTCAGCTCAAGCATTGGCTGAGTTCAGGGGATCACTATTGCAAGAAGTTAGGAATCAACAGTTCAGCAAATAAGTTTGGCATGCAGGAGGCAAGGCCATGTGTATCTCAGAGGTCATTTCCTTGTGTGTTGCTGCAGGAAGGGCATGAACAGGTAAATGAGACTTCAACATTCACAGCCCTGTTATGAAGCAGTGTACTAAATAGGGACCTTGCCCCTGATGGCCAGTGGGAAAAGTTCCTGCTTGAATTAAGTTCACGTTTTCCCTAGTGTATGCTACTCTTTTATTCAGAGAGATCTGATTAACAGGGAGTGTGTGCTGATGCACTGCACTACAGCATCCTTTTCCCTGGTGGTACCTATGGTGATGAATAGCGTTGGGAAAGCAAACATATGGCAAGGCCAGTGTATTGTGTGGCTGAAAGGTGTGGAGCAAAACACGTATTCCATGCTCTCCTTAAAGGCAAGTAAGCTTCTGAGGTACTCTAACAGCAGAATCAAAGCCTGGTCATGATAATACCTTCCTCACAGCTCCCTTGAACCTGGATGAATCTGAAGTGCTCCCACTGAGCCCAGCTGCTGAGGCAGGAGACACTGGGCCATGCCAGGTCTGCATCAGAGCATCACATTAAATTTGCAAAATGCTTTTTTCCTTTTTTTTGTTAAAGCACATCTAAACAACTCAAGTGTGCCTCTAATTCTTGCCAGGGTGTGCCAGAATGGACACCTGCCTGAAACCTGGGTCCTCGCTAATGAAATAACCAGGGCACAATCAGATCTTTGTTTCCAGCAGTGCTTACCAAACAGAAGGAGCTTTGATTGCTGTGCAGAACACATGCAGTAAGACAGGGAGAGTGCTGGGTGTGAACACTTCCAAAATACCCCATCCTTACCCAAAACACAGCTCTAATAGGTAGCCAAAGCTTCTCTCTGCTGGAGTTGGAGAAAGCAAGAAGTCCTTTTCACCATCAGCAGCTGTTGTGGTGGGGTTTTCCTATGGGTGACTGAAGAGCCACACAAAGCATGCTCCTCGCTCTGTTCCAGCATGTTTTTCCACATGTCAGATGGATGTTGCTCTGTTGGAGTTTTGGATTGTTCTGTTGCCTTTTATTTCAGTGGCTGAAATGTGTTATTTGTAAAATCATATGATGCAATCTCCATTTGAGAAAGGAAAAGGAAAGACTTGCAACACCATTAGGATCATAGCAGGGGTATGGAATAAAGTAGAGTTAATGTGTTGGAACAAGTGTGTTTTGGCCTTTTCTGGCATTAATGTGTACCTGATGGTTTCACTCTCGATAGCCATCAGCTGGGAGGAGCTTTCTCTGGCTTCTTTCCAAATCTGAGATCAGTATTTCTCCTTCTGTTTTCACTTGCTGCATTATTATTTTAATTCACTTATGTACTTTACTTGATCTCATAATATATCAGGGTCAAAAAATCATACTCCTTTGTGCGATGCACTGGGTTTAAAACGACACCGTGAGCTTTAACTGGTTTTGTGGACGTGTTGCAGTGGTTGCAATCCTCAGCTCTTTCTCTGCTGTTCTGCTCCTAGCCGAGTCTTCAGTACGTTTCCCTTCAGAACCCTTTGTGTGACTGAGCAATAACTTCTGCAAACCAGATGTACCTAAAAGCCACCCACAGTCAGTAGCTGTGGTTTTGAAATCCAAAGAGATCCTGATCGCTGGGTGCTTGGGCAGTGCTTTGTATCAATATTGGTGATGAACTCAAGTGTACAAACCTGTAATTCCCTTGACTTACCTTTCGAATTGCCACGTTTAGTCTCTTCCATAATCTTTGCAATAATAGCCCTTTCCTTGATCCTCATAATATTACCCCTCAGGCACAGTGGATGTGGGCTGGGTACCAAGGGGGAGGATGTGTTAGCAGCATGCCCAAAACACAGGACTTCGTGCTTCAAGGCAATGCTAACGTGTTGGGAGGCACAGATAGAGAAACTTTATCCAAATTTCACTTACGTTTTATATCACCCATGACTTGTGAAGAGATTTTTGAGCCTGACTCAAAAAATCTTTCACAGAAACCAGAGTGAAAATTCAGTGGTGAGAAGCGTGAATCATATGGGATTTGTGGCCCTGTAGTGGTCATGGGACTACTGCTGTCCTAGACCTGTTTTCATAGCCCCAGAAAGTACTTGTGCTGTCAGAACCCACAAGCTGCACACCCAGATCTGGTTTGATCTCTGTCCTTTCTTTGCTTTCATTTAGGGTCAGGGTGTTCGACCTCCGCAGAAGTGAATCCCTGTGCTCCCTCTATGCCCACCAGTTAGGAGTGTCTGCGGTCCAGATGGATGACTGGAAGATCGTCAGTGGAGGGGAAGAGGGCTTGGTCTGTGTGTGGGACCAGCGGATGGGCACCAAGCTCTGGGAAATGCATGCCAGGTAATTTTGTCTGCACCTGTTGCAAGGGTGTTTATAGGATCTGATAGACAGGAGGAATGTGGGAATGGGATGATCCAGGACCAAAAGGATAACATCCCCTGTCTGAAGCTGCTGAGAGTTCTGTTGTCGTGTGATTTGGGAACAGATTGCCTCCCCACCTGGAGTCTTGTGCATGGAAATTGTTTCCCCTGCATTTCTCATGAAGATCACAGAATCACAGAAACATGTGATTCTGTGGCCTTTACATAGAATCCCAGCCTGGTTTGGGTGGGAAGGGAACTTAAAGCTCATCCAGTTCCATCCCCCTGCCACGGGCAGGGCCATCTTCGACTAGACCAGCTTGCTCCACGGAGCCACGGTTTCTCTGGCCACTGTCTTCTCCCTGCCCCATCCCCATCCAGTATTTACTTTATTGAAACTTGGATTTAAAGTGCTGGACTCCTGGCTGTCGCTTTTCAGAGTGCCTGCTTCTGGCTGTCTCTATGCACTGTAGCCTTACGCAATCCCTGTGTTTCTGTTCACCTCATCCGCACATTCAGTCAAATCCAGGTTGGTATTTAAATTTAAACTCATTTAAATATTAAAATACCAGTTTGTACTGAGAGCACAAGTAGTGCCGTACTGCAAGTACAAGCAGAGATGAGTATCCTGGAGTTGTCAGAAGACTGTTGGTTGCTGCAGCCAAATGATTTCTTACTCAAAGCATGGTTCCGAAGGGCTTTGTCTGAATGAAGACCTGCAGGATTTAGTGCCTTGTAAGTCTGAGTGATAACCCTACTAAAATGAACAGATAAATCCCGATAACTTTGTTTTTAATGCATCTTCCCCAAAGAGGAGCTAGATGAGGTATTTACAGTGAGACAAGTTCAAGCTGAAGTTGTCACTGATTAATGGCAGGTACCACCTTTTCTTTTGACCCTGTGAATTATAAAGCCGGTTGTGATGTGGCTGATGCATTAAGGACAATCTTGCATTGATTGTCTCCTGGAGCGGCACTAATGAGCATGCCAAGAAGGAGGGCAGATCTGAGCTTTGGGGTGTGCTAAAAGTGAAATCATTAGGTTAAACATTTAAAATACTGTTTAATCTATATAGGGATCAGAAGGGATCACTTCAATCAAAAAGGCTTGCTTGGATAAGAAGGTGTGTGTGTATTGTTTTCCATGCCTTCAGCCAGGTGTCATGAATGGAAAGCAGGGGCAGAAGTAGAGAGAGGTGACAGGAGACAAGGAGGTGAGCCATCTTAATCTGAGAAGATAAATTACTCCTGCTTGAACAGTAAATGCTGTTACAGTGGTTCAGGATTAGTTCACTCACAGTGAGAGGAAAAGGACTGGAGAGCAGACCTCTTAGTTTGTGCCACACAGTGCACTTCTAAATCAGCCATAGCTCGGTGCCTGGCGTGTGGGGGTCCTGGGTGTGCCCATCCCTCCTTTGGGAAAGCAGGCCTTAAAGCAGCAAGGCAAGCAGGCCGGCAGAATCCCTTGCAGCCTGTGTGCTGCCGAGTGTCTTAGAATCACAGAACCAACCAGGTTGGAAAAGACCTTTAAGATCATCACATCCAGTCATTCCCCACCACTGCCAAGGCCACCACTGCCCCATGGCACTGAGGCCTCATCTCCACGGGGTGTGAACACTTGCAGGGACAGTGACTGCAGCCCTGCCCTGGGCAGCCTGTTCCAATGCCTGAGCACCCTCTGGGGCAGGAATTGTTCCTCAGCTCCATCTAAACCTGCCCTGGGCAGCTTGAGGCCGTTTCCTCTTGTCCTGTCACTTGTTACTTCGAGAAGAGACCGACCTCCTGTCAGGCAGTTGTAGGGATGGATACGGTCCCCCTGAGCCTTCTCTTCTCCAAAGAACCCCACGTGTGTTCTGATAACAGCCCACTAGATGGGGGTAAAAGCTGCGTTCATCTGCTCCGGAGAGGAGAAGTGCAGATTCCCAACCTCTCTCCGTGGAGAGGGCGCTGTTTTAAGTAAATTCCTATTTAATCCAGAGCAACTCCTTTCCTGCGCTTGCATTTTAAGTCTAATGTAGGTGTCACCTCACCCAGTGCTGTGGGTTGGTTTTCAGGCATCCAGTCCGCCACATATGGTTTAATGCTCACAGCCTCATCACTGCGAACATCCCTGATGAGAAAAGTCTTCCAGGCACCAGCATCACGGATGATGACCTTACTGTGCACCACAAGTGAGTATCCCAGCTCTGAGGGGTGGGATTTGTGGCACTGGGAAGATCTGCTTTAGCAAAGTGGCCCACTAAGCAGCCAGGTCATGATCCAGAGCAGTAATAGAGAAGGTATAGCAAAAAGAAGTTTAAAGATAAGGCTTTCAAAGCCCATTGATGAATTGACTCTTTACTTCCAACCACTTCTTTTTCAGCAGGAGAATGTAAAGGCCACAGAAGCCAGACTGGGAATGCAGCCCTTTCCTGCTCTAAATATTAGTAGTGGTACCTCCTGCTAAAGGAAAACTACTGGTATTTCTGCTCCAGGTTTTGGTATTTCCATCTTAGATGGCTCTTAGCATGTCTAATGGAACTGCCAATCTCCAGTGTACTTACGTTCCCCCTTCCAGAACAGATGAGATCTGTTTCAGCAGATGACAGTCATGTCTCTGCAGTGCTGAAGTGAATGATTCACTGTTTGTTTCCAGGGCTTAGTGGGTCCCTGGAAGGAAGCAGGAGGGAGTTTTCTGTGTTAAAACTGCACAGACAGCCCTAGTGCAGAAGAGATTTACATTCAGCTTCTGGAGCATCGGATTCTGAATCTTCATGGCGATCTCTAGCTTTGTTTCCCCTGTTGGAATATGTAATTCAGCCATATAAAATGATGTGTCCTGGTTGTGTTTTGTGCAGGTATCGAGGAATCATTTATGCCTACGAGTTCTCAGCAGACCAGTTGGCTGTAGAAAGTGTCCTTCCAATCTGCCGCTCTTCCTATGATGAAGTGACTGGTTACAACTACAACATTGGCCTTGCAGTTCCCTATGATAACATTTAGGTAACTCACTTCACTTGGCTTCTGAGGTCCAGCCCTCTGCCAAGTACATGGCCAAAGGCAAAAAGGAAATCCACATGGGATAAGAGCCAAAAAGACGGGCTTGCAGGCACGTGGAGTGGGTTGAGCATCTGCTGAAAACCTGGGGATATGAACAAGAAGAGAAAGGTTCTAACACTAAAATATGCTGCTGCCCAAACAAAACCTGTGCTGGAACGGAGAGAAGGGGAACAGTAAACAGTGTTCCTTCCTGCTGCTTGTGGGAACAACACTGCTGATCCCATCCTGGCACAGGACACAGTCAGGAAGCGAGAGCCCTGAGTGGCAAACTGCAGGGGTAGTGGGAGGCTGGGAGCACATTGGGGAGTTGGTGCTTATCCTGAGAGGAGAAAATAACCACCAAGGACTTGGAAGAAGCATCCTGCTGAGCCACGTGGCTGGAATTTCTTTCCTTGTAACGAGCTGCTCATTCTGATTTTCCTTGGGGTGCATCAGAACGTGTCTGAGAACAGGTCCATGAGTAAAAGGTGGTTGGGAGAGGGGGTTATGATGGCGAGGGAGGGGAAGGGTGGCCCTGGCCAGGCTGGATGCTGGGACACTCAGCAGGCCACACGCATCAAAATGATTTTAAATTAAATTATTTTTGTAAGTCTCTAAAATAGAATTAAATTTTTTCTAATGGTAACGTGTTTGTGAGGGGTTTGTTCACAAAATTAACCAGCCCCTGTGCACTGCAGCAGTGGCTCTCATGGCTCAGGTTTGTCGTCAGGTTGGTTTGTTGCTGGATCATGCCCTTCCACCATGCACCTTCCACAGGAACTTGGGGTTCCAACACTGTCCTTGCTTCTAAGCTGGGAACTACTCATGTTGGAGTAATGGAACTGAAGGGGTGAACTGGCTGCAATCCCTCTGTATGGGTAACTAGCACTAGCACTGTGGAGAAGCATCCAGGCTGAAGGGTAGATGTGATGAAATCGAGAAGTAAGGCTTTAGCTTAAACCCCAGTTGCACTGACATAGGTAGAACCAGTTTGGTGAATAAGAGCACATATCCTGCATGGATATGTTTTACTGGTTTAAAACTATTTTATGGGGGTGCTTTGCCCTTGTGAACTTACTGGTGCAAACCCAGAGCCATGTAAATGAGTTTAAACTGAGGTTAAGTTTTAACACCTCTTCACTGGTTTAATCTGGGGTGGGGTGCAGGGAATGTGCCTGAACCTGTAGGACTGGGGCTGGCTGGAGTGTCACCAGCCCTTCTGCCTGAGGCAGGCCCTGGAGAGCTTCATGCTGCAGCCTCCTGCCTGGAGAGAGACACAGTTAATGGGCATTCATTGTCTTGGGGTGGTTTCCCATGCCCCCTCGGCCAGCTTCCACTCGTGGGTTTGGTTTTGAGCAGCTTTCTGCTCCTGATGGACTTCCACAAGGCGCAGACGTTCGGTCTGACCAATGAAGTTGTGGTCTTTTTGTCTCTTTTCTCCCTCTGCCCTTCTGGGAAGGCAGCTCCATCCCTTCGCTGCTGACGGAGCAAGAGGTGTCATGGACATGGAGTCTGGACAAGAGTTTCTGTAGCATCAGTGCTGTTGTGGGTTGCTCCAAGCCTGGGACTTGGGTGGCTGAGCAGAGGGAGCGCTTCCACCGTCATTGTTCTCTTGAGCCGTGACCTGCTGCCGTGTCTCACTGGATACACCCTTGGCTTGTTCCCACTTTGACTCCCATTATCTTGCCTCGTGATCTGGGGCCAGCTTTGTTCTTTGTTCATCTCCCTGCTGCAGGGAGCAGATAAGTTTTGTCTTCTGTGTGTGCTGAGCCCATTTCCTGGAAGCCACCTCTCCTGCTGCCTCCTTGACCATCCCAGTCACTGAGTTGCACCCGCCTTCACCAAGATGTTTGCTTTCTTATGCAGAGAAGACCTACGAATCACATCACTGGGGACCAGATATCAACCCATCCACATGCTGGAAGGCTTGCCATCATCTGCAGTGAGAGAAATTCTGGTCCCCATAGCACCATTTAGATGGCTTGGGATCTGAATGCTATAGTGGATGGGAGGGTGGTCCTTTTGGTCTGGTTTCCCTCTCCCTGGAATTCATTTAGGAAGGTTGCACCACAACAGCAGTTTGTGTATGTGTTTAACTAGGATTCATAATGCAGATGAGGGCACTTAGGCTCTTGGAGAGTATCCGTGGTGGGTGTTTCTCAAAAGGGATGTCCTGTTTCACTGATAGTCATTAATGCTGCACTGGAGTGGGTCCTGGAGTGTAGCAAATGCAGTCGTGACTGTTCCCGTCTTCACCAGGGGTAGGTGACATTTAAGTGGAACCTCTTTCCTAATGAGTTCAGGAGTGGAGTCACCATCTGCTCTTCACTGGAGAGAGATGCCACCTTTGCATTTCCCACCTGGGTATTTGCTAGTGCTACCAGTTTGTGGTGGGTAGGGGCAAAGGTGGACTCTTGTCTCTGCAGACCCCAGGCAAAGGTTATTGCTCAAGAAGGTTTCCATGTAGCTGCACAAGGAAGAGGGCTTACTCTGGGGCAGTGTGGAATCACCACCCCTGGAAATGCTCAGAAGCTGTGTAGATGAGGTCTTTAGTGCCATGGGTTAGAAAAGGTTGGACTTAATGATCTTAAAGGTCTTTTCCAACCTCGCTGGTTCTGTGGTTCTAACAAGGGGGCATCTCTGCTGTGTCGGGTGGTGCCTGGAGCTGATGGGCAGGGGTTTGGGCTGAGGAGCTGTGGTCAGGACATGTTGGACCAGTGCTGTGGGTTGACCCCACAGAGCTTAGGCTGCAGGTGAAAGCTCACACGAGGTGCAGCGTGCCAGGCTGGTGCCTGTTAAATGGGCTGGGTTGGTGGGGACAGCTAAAGGATCACCAAAGGAGGCAGGCATTCGGGATGGAGAGCCTCAAGAATGATTTCTGGTTTCTGTTGCTGGCGGCAGTGATCCTTAGCAAGAGGTATCCATTGTCTTTGTGAGAAGGATCCCTGGATGGAAGTTTCTCCCTTCCTGTCCTCCAAAGGGAATGTGTGATCAAAGGGGATGTCTCTATCACAGCCTCCAGCTGCCACCAGGCTGCAGAGCTCTGTCTTCAGTGAGAAGCGATGGGTGATGCAGAGCAGAGCAGCCTTGATGCAGAGGACATGGTAGGGCACTCAGCTGTAGCGCTGTGCTGTCCTGCCACGTGTTTGGGTCCAAGCCAGCAGCAGAGGCCCCAAGAAAATGCTTTTTGCCTCTGTTCTGTGTCCTTGAGCCCCTCAGCAGGGGAGAAAGAGGAATTCCAGCATTTTCTGTTCTGCCACCCCTCTCTTGACGCTGAGGAGTGGTGGGAGGAGGAAGAGCAGGTGCTCTGTGTGCAGAGAGGGACCAAGGGGGTCTCTGATTCCTCTCCCTTTCCCTGCCTTCCCTGTGTATGTCCTGAGATGAGGGTACCAGGGAGCCACAGCGGTGCAAAACATATCTGTTTATGCCCCCTCTGCCCTGTGCCAGCGCCTCAGCACCCTCACAGGGAAGAGCTTCTGCCTCAGAGCTCAGCTCAGTCTCCCCTCTGGCAGGTTAAAGCCATTCCCCTTGGCCTGTCCCTACATCCCTTGTCCCAAGCCCCTCTCCAGCTTTCCTGCAGCCCCTTCAGGCACTGGAGCTGCTCTCAGGTCTCCCCTTCAGGAGCCTTCTCTTCTCCAGGCTGACCCAGCCCAGCTCTCTCAGCCTGGCTCCAGAGCAGAGCTGCTCCAGCCCTCGCAGCATCCCCATGGCCTCCTCTGGCCTCGCTCCAACAGCTCCATGTCCCTCTTGTGCTGCTGCCCCAGAGCTGGATCAGGGCTGCAGGGGGGTCTCCCCAGAGCACAGCAGAGGGGCAGGATCCCCTCCCTGAGCTGCTGCTCACGCTCTGGGGGTGCAGCCCAGCACACGGGGGGGTTCTGGGCTCAAGCACTCACTGAAGCCGGGTCATGGGGAGCTGTTTGGTCTCTGCCTTCCCACGCTCCACTGTGCTGAGGTGGATGCTCTTGGTGGGGAGCTGGGTCAAGGGGTCTGCCTGGGGCACCTGCCCTGCGGTCATGGGGTTTGCTTGGTCCTGCTCTTCCAGAGCCTCTCCCATTGCACTCTGTGACCCTGCTCAGCCTTTCTCAGCCTTGCCTTCCCCTTTCCAACCCGTGGCAAAGCAGCCTCAGTTTCTCCCTTCCCCTCTGCTGACCGCCGTGGGTCTGCAGTGCAGCTTTGTGCCACACCACGGGTCCCAGCAGCTCTCACCGTGCCCTGTAACAGAGCCGTTCTCTTTCATGGAGCGCCCTGGGCCCTGCAGGATTTCCCGGTGCTCTGCCAGGTTTTCCTGCACGTCACAGGATGATTCCTCCCCCATCTCACTGGGCTTTGCAGCACCAACATTGCTCTCGTTGCCTTGGTTTTCCACTGGGAGCGATGCTCCTGCCCGTCCAGAGGGACCCTTCCTGCTCCTGGGCTCTGTCTGCTGGGCTGAGGATCAGCTTTGTCTTCCCGTTCCGCTCTCCCTTTCGTCTGCTCCGTGCGCTCCCTCCTGCTCTCGACCTCATCCCCTTTCCCACAGAGAGGACAACCACAACTAAGGCAGAACACGCTGCGGGCAGTTTGCTTTGGGTCCTGCCTCCGCTTCCCCACGGTCCCTGCTTCCACAGCACCCAACCAAGCAGCTCAAAGGATAAATGTCCCCTCTTATCCAGGCCTCCTGCCCTCTGTTTCCCAGCCCTCACTGCCTGCTGTAAGAGCTGATGTCTCCTCCAAGCAAACCCCATGTGGAGGGGGAGTGGGACCATGAGTTTAAGGACCATCAAGCCAGCAGCAGCAGGGCTTTCAGAGGTGGAAAAGGGCCTTTCAGACACAACTGGTGCCAGGGGCAAGGAGAGCCTGGAGCGGGGCTGGGTGGGACAGGTCTGCAGCATCTGTGCAGGAATTCCTGTGGGAAGAGGAGGAAAGGGGCCTGGGGCCTGGGGAGAACCTGGATGTTGGGTGCATGGGGGCTGTTGGGTGCATGGGGCAGAAGGGAGCAGGCAGGGTCTGGCACAGGCAGGAGGAGGACCAGGATCAGCCTCAGCTGGGAGGTCAGGCACAGCCCAGTGGTGCTGGAGCAGTGCGGCTGGGCACGAGCCCAGGGGATGGAGGTGTCCCAGGGAGCGAGAGGAGAGTCCCAGAGCCCTGCACACACAGACAGGGCTGCGGCTGCCACCGGGGCAGGAGACCCAAGGGTCCTGACCAGCTGCACTGCAAGAGCTGGGAGCTCCATCACTGCCAGCACCCAGCCCACGTTGAGCACCACGTACCGGGGCTCAGCCACCACCACGGGGGTGCCACGGCTTTGCCCGTGCCCAGCCCCACGTGGCAGCATCCCCATGCATGGAGCTGTGCAATGGGCTCAGCCCCATCCCTGCGGCTCCCTCGGCAGCAGAATCAGCCCCAGCCTGTCCCCAGTGTCTTGGAGCAGTGCAGGTGTCTCCAGGTCAGGACTGCAGGGCTGCAGGGACCGAGTGGCCTTCGCTGGCTGCTCTGCTGCTGCCTGAGGAGCTGCTCCAGTGCAGGGGCTGTGAATGGAGAGCAGGAGCAAAGCTATAGCAGCCTCTGAGGGCAAGGCCTGAGCCAGGGAGAGGCCGGGCACTGACTGCCCTTGGGGGGACGGAGAGGGCTGCCCGTGGTTGTCCATGGTTGTCCATGGTTATCTATGCTCCTGCAGGCACTGCTTGCCGGGGGGGGAGGCTGTTTTCCCACCGGGAGAAGCCATTCCTGACAAAACAAACAAAATCTTTCCAGCTTCCCTAAAAATAGGCACTGCCCTTTTTCATCCCCCCCTCGCTTCCCAGCTCCGGCTGGGAATCCGCCCCCGTTAATACCAGTAAACAGACCTTGAGCTGCGGTGCCTTGTCCCAGTGGGAACATGTGGGGGCAGGAGCCACCCGGCTGCCACGTCCCCGTATCCCTGCAGCCTGCAGGGGGGTGCCTGGGCCCCGGTGGGGTCTCACACAGGAAGGTGCATCCATGGGGTTTGGGTTAAACTGGGGTTATTCCTCGTGCCACAGCCACCTTGAGCATCTCGTGGGATGCAGAGGGGGATGTAACAGCCCTTCCGGGTGATGAGGATGCCCCTCAGCATCCCCATCCCTGCCTGGGTGCACTCCCCATGGCATGGGGATCAGCCCCTTAGAGCACACACGGGGCAGCTCCTTCCCCAGAGCAGCACATGGCAGAGGCTCAGCATCCAGATTTGTGGGAAAACCAGGATCTGTGGGTGCTTTCTGCACAGGGAGAGACCCCCCAGGCCCTGTGATGTGGATGGATGGATGGATGGATGGATGGATGGATGGATGGATGGAGGATGGATGGAGGATGGATGGATGGATGGATGGATGGATGGATAGATGGATGGATGGATGGATGGATGGATGATGGATGGATGGATGGAGGATGGAGGGAGGGATGGATGGAGTATTTCTTAGCAAGGAGTAAAAAGAGAAATACCTTTTATTACAGATAAAACCCTCTTGTGTTTCTAGAGAGCAGAGGGCAGCCCCACAATGGGACAGGCACGCGGGACATAGCGCTTGGTGCCAGGAGCATGGAGCTGCTGCAGGGTCCTCTTCATCTTCCTCCTCCTTGTCCTCATCCTCTTCCTCCTGCGGGTGCCAGGAGGAGGCAGGGTCAGTAGCAGTGCGCGATGGTGTCCACGTTGAGGAAGCGGACGTGCATCTTGGTTTCGATGTCGATCCCCTGCCACATCTGCAAGGGGAAGGGGGTGAGCGGGGTGGGGGGGTCCCCATAACCCCCTGGCACCCTCGTCCTGGGGACACAAGTGGAGGTGCCACCAACCTTAAGGAAGTCTTCAAAGGTGATGCCCTCATAGACCTGGTCTGGTCCCTATGGGCAGCGAGAGAAAAGGTTACAGCTGCCCTATAGGGGCAATGGGGCACTGGGTGACCAGGGGATGGGACAAGTCTCCCATGGGTGCACAGTGATGGCCCCACACTGTGCCCTATGGCCAGCCCCAAATTGGTTCCCAGAAACAGCATGGCTGCACAGAGCTGCCTTTTGAACAAGCATTAAAGCCCCACGCACTGAGGGTGATGCTTTGTGGGGCTGTTTGCTTATGGCCCTGGGGACAGGGGAGATGCCCAGCCAGGAGGGACATTTCCCAGCCCCATTTTGATGCCATCTCGGTGCCTCTGTGCCAAGACAGGGTGAGGAACCAGCTCCCACCATTTGTCCCACACAGATGCTGGCTGCCTCCATCATGGCGCCATCGGCAATGGACCGGGCCGACTCCTTCTCCAGGTGGGGGTTCCCCGACAGCAGCTCCTCCACCACCTACAAGGCAGGGGGTCAAGGCTGGGGCTGGGGATTCGGTGGTGATGGGGTGGGAGGGACCATACGTTACATTTCTGTACTCCTGCAGCGTGATCTTCCCATCATGGTCTGAGTCATACATGTGGAAGAGGACTGGGAGGGATGAGAAAAGTATGGCAGGGTCAGAGGGCCCTTTCCCACCATCCATCCCTCCATCCATCCATCCGTCCATCTCTCCATCCATCCCTCCTTCCATCCCTCCATCCATCCATCCATCCATCCATCCATCCATCCATCCATCCATCCATCCCTCCATCCCTCCTTCCATCCCTCCATCCCTCCGTCCATCCCTCCGTCCATCTATCCATCCCTCCATCCCTCCATCCATCCATCCCTCCATCCACCCCTCCATCCATCCATCCATCCCTCCATCCATCCACCCCTCCATCCATCCCTCCATCCATCCATCCACCCATCCATCCCTCCCTCCATCCATCCATCCATCCATCCATCCCTCCATCCACCCCTCCATCCGTCTGTCCATCCATCCGTCTGTCCATCCATCCATCCATCCATCCATCCATCCATCCATCCATCCACCCCTCCATCCCTCCGTCTATCCCTCCATCCATCCCTCCATCCATCCATCCATCCACCCCTCCATCCCTCCGTCTATCCCTCCATCCATCCATCCATCCATCCCTCCATCCATCCATCCATCCCTTCATCCATCCATCCATCCACCCGTCCATCCCTCCATCCATCCATCCATCCATCCATCCATCCATCCATCCATCCATCCATCCATCCATCCACCCACCCCTCCATCCCTCCATCTATCCCTCCATCCATCCCTCCATCCCTCCATCCATCCACCCCTCCATCCCTCCCTCCATCCATCCCCCTCCAGCCCTGGGCTTTGGGCAAGCCTCACATTTGAGTTTCTCTTTCCGGAAGCGGTCGAGCTGCTCCTCGTCCATGTTCATCTCGATGGGTCTGAAGTAGGACATGATGGTCAGGAAGTCCTCGAAGTTTATCTCATCCGCCAGCCCATCCGACTCCTGCCGCAGGTTCCTGCCAAGAGCAGCGCTGCTGGGGACAGCCAGAACCCCTCTGCCCACCACAGAGCCCAGCGCGTCCCTTGGCACAGCTTCAGGACTCTTTTATCCCCAGACTCATCTCCATGGCTGTAATTCCCATCCTGGCTCCATCCCACTCTTTAAGCAGATCTTTGCCCGGTCGCATCCTTGCAGAGCATAAACCAATGCCGGGGCTGTCCTCACCTCTTGTCGAAAAAGGCATGGACGATTTTCCCCCTGATTGGGTTGAATTCCAAATCGGGAATGCTGTCGAAATTCTCCTTGCTGCAAAAACGAAACAGGGAAGTGGGAGGGAGCTGAGGAGGAGGGAGGTGCTGCCACTGCCACCACCGGGCTTGGCCAGGAGCCCCGACCCCATCCTTTCAAAACCATCACTGAGGATAAAGAGGTTTGGCTTGAAACCCCCTTGTTGCCCCAGCTCAGGCTGAGAACAGGCCACGCTGCTTCCATACTGCACCCATCTGTGCCTGGTGGAGGTTTGTCCCACTGAAGTGGGTCTTTGGGCCACAGCAGCATGGAGCTGATGCCGGGGCGCTCCAAAGGCAAATGCCTGCATGGTTTCCAGAGAGTTTTCCCAGGAATAATATCCCAAATGGGGCTCAAGAAGGCAAGAGAAGGAGCTCCTGCTGTGCACTCTGCCCTGCACCACCCCACTGCACCCTCGCTGCCCCCCGGGTTGTGCCGCACAGACCCGAGGCTGAGCCTGTGCTGGTGCTTTGCTGTTGGGCTGCTGTGAAGCAAAGGGCCAAGAAATGACCTGTGTGTGGTGGGGAAGCAGAGGGCAGCTGAGCTGGTGACACCGATGGGATGCTCCAGAGCATCCCCAAGCAAGTGGAGTTGTGGCTTTGGAGCACAGCAGCCTGCACAGATGTCAAGGAGGGGGGAAAAGGGCAACTGCAAACCCTGCTGTGTAGGGACCTGTCACTGCTCTCCCCAAAAATGGGCTCAGAGCTGTGGGGTCGTGGGCTAAAAAGAACATGGGGAAAGTTCAGGTTGGAGATAATGCAGAAGCTCTTCCCTGTGAGGGTGCTGAGGCGCTGGCACAGGGTGCCCAGAGAAGCTGTGGCTGCCCCATCCCTGGCAGTGTTCAAGGCCAGGTTGGACACAGGGGCTTGGAGCAAGCTGCTCTAGTGGAAGGGGTTGAAGTTGAAGCTGGAGGAGCTTTAAGGTCCCTTCCCTTCCCACCCAAACCAGGCTGGGATTCCATGATCCATGAGTCGGCTGGAGCAGCCCTGCTCCTGGGTCACCACTCGCTGTCTCATCTCCTCCTGGCATTAACGCCACGCTGCAGAGAACCAGCTCAGCACGGCCATGGGATGAAGGGCAGGGCAGGACAGGCTCCTGCTCACAGCCCCGGGAGCCGGACATCCCCCCCGGGCACCATTCCCAGCGCCGGGAAGCGCCGTACCGGATTGTGAGCTGGTCCTGGCTCAGCTGCTTGAAGCGCCGGTGCAGGTGCTCGATCTGCTCAGAGGTGACTGTGGGGGGAAAAGAGAGAGGTGATGGCGGGGTGTGTGAGAGCATCCTGGGCACAGGGCAGCACCCAGGGACCCATCTGCAGCACCCAGGGACCCATCTGCAGCACCCACATCCCACCCAGGGACGTGAGGTGGGCACCAAAACCTGCCATAGAGGCTGTGCCCTGGGGACACCACCAAAGCCCACCAGCAATAGACGAAAGGCTCCTGGATCTCCCCAAGCAGGGGCTTGGACACCTCTTGACACAGATGTCCCTGTCCCTGTTTCCCTTTGGTGGCTCTATGCAGCCCTATGGGGGTCTGAGCAACCTGGTCGAGTGGAAGGTGTCCCTGGGTGAGCTTTAAGATTCCTTCAACCCAGTCCAGGCTGGGATTCCATGATTCTGTGGAACTCCCTGGGGGCCGCATGGCAGGATCCCACCTCCCTGTTTAGGGTCTGTTAGGGTAGCAGACCCACCCTTCAAACAGATAGCACTGATAAAAAGGAGTGACCAAAGCTGACAGCAGCAGGGGGAAGGTTGAACACAGAGGAGATGATTTGGCATCCAAAGAGCAAAGCCCAGCTTCAAAACAGCCATTACAGCTGCTTGGAGGGAGCCGGGGCACGTGGAAACCACAATCCATTGAGGTGGGTGCTGAGTCCTGGGGGGAGGCCCCAGCCCCTGGGCAGCGTGGCTGCACCCCAGAGCATCACCTTAGAGGGCTGGAGCTGGGGTGCCAGCAGCCCCCCTTGGGGACCCCCGTCGCTGAGGTTACAGCGCGAGGCTCAGCAGCATCCTTCCTCCTCCTCACTCCCATGACTCAGGGTATGTGATGTTTTCCCCGCTATTCTCTACAGGCCACAACCAAGCTCTGCAAAGCCCCAGAGCACAGAGCCCGACTCTTGTGCAAATATTGACAGTGGCTGTTCCCAGGAGCCAGGGGAGCAGCTCCCACCTTTGTTTGTAGGAGCGGATGGAGTCAATCCCGGCACCAACTGCACCCATAGGCTTGCAGCAGCCCTGGCCAGAGCCAAGCAACTGATCATCAGCCCTTCCCAGTGCCGTGGAGCAAGAGGAAAGCATCCCAAAGTACAACTGAGGGGTTGCAAACAGCTGCTGTGGCTGAAGGCAAACAGGTCGGTGCGGAGCTCGGGGCTGGCTGGCTCCCTTCTCTCTTTCATTAAAGTCCTTTGCTCTGTTTCTGTTGTTTCCCAGCCTTGAAATAGAACTCGTATTGATCAGGAAGGCTGAGCACTTCCAGACCTCTATTAATGCACTGGAAAAACCCATTTGTGCTTGTCGCTGGGTGGGGGTTTGCAGGATGAGGCCGTTGGATAGGTTTTGGGGGTCCCCCCCTGAACCCGCTGGCTCTGAGGCAGTGATGCCTGGCTGCACAGGCACCAGCTCACCCATACTGTGTTTTTCTCCCCTGATCCCTCTCTGTGTGATGCGCTGCTGCTGCCCGCATCCGCATGGAAACTTTCTGTGGACTTTGCTTTCCAATTTTGGCCATGGAGAAGTGACCTTTCGCTTTCCGCCTCGACAACATCACCGTCACCATGGGAGCAGCTGGGCCACCAGGCCTTCAGCATCTGCCCCTTGGTTGCACACCAAACCCTTTGATCTCTGAGGCATCCCAGACAAGGACATGACGGGGTCACCGCTGGGATGCTCCCGGCCGGTCCAGCCCCGCTCCGCGCCCGGCCCCCATCTGCAAGGCAGAGGGGAGGGATTCGCATCCCCACACGCAGGTGCTCCTCTCACAGCCGAGCTGCAGCCCGGGGCTGCGGTGCAGGTGGGCCCCTGAGGACTGCACTGTCCTGCGAAGGGCAGCAGCGCTCGGCTGCCTTCCAGAGAGGAAGCTGCACCTGCACAAAGGGCAGCGGCTCAAGGGCGGCGGAGGCTGCTGCATCCCTGAGAAACAGCCCCAGCACTCGGATGCTGCGGGCCCGTGCCCGAGCGCAGCGGCTGATGCTGTAAGGGGAAGGACGGTGTTCAGACTGAAGGTGTTGGGGTTGCTCTTTCCCAGCCTGCAGCGGTTTGTGCTGCTTCAGCAAAGGGGAGGGGATGGGCTGGAGGGGCTCGGCCCCGCGCTGTGCTGGGTTTTGCCTTGCAAGAGCATGTGGGGCGCAGGCACAGATTGTATTGTCCCAGGAAGAGCCGCTTCAGGACAGGGCAGATGCCTCTGCTGCAGCTTCATCATCAAGCAGGGATGGGAACCGGCCCCACCGGCCCCAAGCAGCCATGGGTGCCCCTGCAGCTTTTAGGGTGGAAAGCAGTGGGAAGAAGGCGATGGAACGCGCCATGGGGACCCACAGGGAGCCCTGTCCCATCCCTGCAGCTCCCAAGGGGGGCCGGGATCCCCTCCCCGAGGCCGAGCCCCAGCAGGAACCCGTCAGGAACGCGCGCTCCTGGGGTTTCGGGACCAGCAGCCACAGCCCGGCGGGAGGGAGCCCTGTGAACGCTGCCAGGAACGCCCCGGCCATGGGGGTCACCACGGGCCTCACTCCCATCCCCTCCCGGCCTCTGGTTTCGATGGGTGGTGCCTTTGTGAACCCTTCCTTCTCCGGGTGGATTCACCGGGACACCGGACGTGGGAAGGTGCCTCCCTCCCGCGGGTGGGTGCTGCAGAAAGGCCTCGGGCAGCGCTGCCTGTGCCCGCGGTGCCGGCTGCCCTGCCGGAAACCTCATAGGATCAGAGAGGGTTGGAAGGGACCTGAAAGCTCCTCCAGCTCCAACCCCTGCCATGGGCAGGGACCCCTTCCACTAGAGCAGCTTGCTCCAAGCCCCTGTGTCCAACCTGGCCTTGAACACTGCCAGGGATGGGGCAGTTTCTCTCCCACCCTGAGCTGCTGCTCACAGCCCGGGGGCTCCCCCGGCTCCTGCAGGGAGCGCTGAGGTCACCCCAGTGGGTGCTGCCGTGCTCAGCCCTCACGGGAGGAGGAGAGGGAAGGGGAGGGAGATGTGACCATAGGATCGGTAGGGGCAGGGCTGGGGGGAGCTGGTGGCCCCTCTCAGCCCCGAACCACATCCTTTGTCCATGGGCAGCGCTGCCTCCTCCCTCCATCACCACCCGCTCCCGGTACGGCAGGAGCTGGAGGAGCCAGGCGGGAGCATCCCGACCCCTGTGCCCAGAGCTGGCTACGTCTGGGGGCATCCTGGAGTGATGACATTCACCTCCATGCCGTGCTCGGAGCCTCAGGCCACATCCTTGCTGCACCCCCCCCCCGCGCTCGCTGGTTCTTTCCCCGCACCACCGGGCATTAGCACCGCACCGGGGCCGGGAGCGCTGCGGGGGGACCGGGGGCTCTGGGGCAGAGCAGCGCGGGAGGGGGGGGGGACGGACACCCAGCTCCCTGCAGCAGTGCCGGGGGTGGGCAGTGCAGCGCTGGGGCTCACCCATGTGCACGCTGCATGTCCCTGCTGGCAGCGGTGCGGCACGGGGGTGACACGGCTGCACCCCCCACCCCTCAGCCCCGGTGACATGGATACGCCCCTACCTCTCACCCCCCCACCCCACCGCCTCCATCCCCCGGTGCGATGCTGCATCCCCCCCTCCCCCGGTGACACGTCCTGTCCCCTCCGCAGGGCTCCGCGGTTTGGGGCGCGGGGGAAGCAGCGGGCAGGGCCCTGCCAAGGTGCCCCCTCCCCGGGGCCGCCCTGCTCCGGGCCCCCGCGCTCCGTACTCACAGCCGGTCCTGTCCGCCAGCTCCCGCATCTCGGCGGGCACGGAGTGCGCGGAGCCCATGCCGGGCCGAGCCGAGCCGAGCCGGGCCGGGCCGTGCCGGAGGCGGCGCTCCGCGGGCCGCTGCACCGGGCTCCGCCGCCGCTGCCGCTTATAAGGGCGGGCGCGGAGGGGAGGGAGGCAGCGGCGCGGCGCGGCTCCCCCGGGTCCCTGAGCCTTCCGCTGTCCTTAGGTTCCCGAGTTAACGGCGGCACCCCCAGCTCCAGGGCCTGGGGTCCGGCGCGGATGGGATCCCCCTGGGATGCGGCTGGCGGCAGAGCCCTTGTGGGCTGGCGGCGCTGGGAGCCCGTGGCTGTGCTGTGACCATGCCCCTCCATGCCCTGCACTCTCTCCAGGCGTTTCCCCCACCCAAGGACGCCCTAAAGGAACCCAGTGCCCACCCAAACCCTTTGACTTTCCCCACCCGTGGGACGCAGGAGGGTGGGAAGAGAGGGGAGACACAGGAACCCCCAGAGGAGAGATGGGATGGGCTGGGCTGTGAACCCAGGGTAGCAGCAGGTCTGGCAGGGCCGCTGCAGAGGTGGGTGCTCTTATCAGCATCTCTCGCTGCCAGAAGAGGCTCGGACGCTGGCAGGGACACATCAGCCTCCCACCGGCACCAGGGAAGAGGAAACTGCATTCAAGAGACAAGGCAGTGGACTCAAAGCCAGCTCCAGAAGCACAGCAGGCTCGGGCAGCAGGTAGCAAGTCAGTGTGGTTTATTGTTTTAAAGCAAAATAGAAACAGGAAAGGAACCAGACCAATCCCAGCCGGCACCTGCCCCAGAGCGAACAAAATACCTGCTTCTTTAGAAAATAAATAAAGGAGAAAGGGGAGATGGCCCCAGGCTGCAACCTCAGCAGGGTCAGGAGGACCCTGGGGCTCAGGAGCCCTCCCCCTTCAGGTGTGGGGCAGCAGTTCTTCATCTAATGTGTCTCCATGCCCAGCCCAGGCATCTCCAGCTGAAAGGAGCAGGGTAGGAGAGAGGGGTAACGAATGCACCACTCCATCCCTGCCTACACGGGCAGGCCCTGGGTCCTGATGTTGGGGAAGAGCCACAAGCCAGGCAGGTAGGGCCCATGGAGGTGTGACACCCATCAGGGATGCTCAGAACCCGCTCTGAGGGTCAGGACAATTCCCTGAGCAACCCAACATGAACGTGAAGTTGGCCTGGGAGGGATCAGAAGATCGCCAGGGGCTCTCCTCCAACCCCCAGCAGTCCTTTCCTGCCCTCACCCTCCTGCACTCGGCAGCAGAGCCCCAGGGGGTGCAGCTCTCCGTGGCTGCTGTGCAGGTGCTGGGGGCTCTGGTTTTGCTGTAAAGGCTGGGGACAAACTGGTACGTTTGGCACAGAGGCCACGCTCTCTGCATGGCCTCAGCTCTGGGGGCTGTTGGGTTCCGCTGTAGTGTGTCCTCACCAGCCCCATGGGGCAGGATGGATCCCAAGAGGATGGGGCACCATCAGCTGCACCTTCCCCTGCCCCCGGGAACAGGGCCCTGAGCAGCTCTTCAGCCCCTCTCACAAGCAGCAGCACACCAAGACAGTGCCCTGGGAGGGAGAACAAACCTGCCCCAGGAGGCTACTGCCCACAGCCCTTGCTGGAGGAGATCTGGGAATGGCACCAACTGTATGACAGTCCCAAGCCCCCAAAATCCAGTGGCACCACTGCCTCAGCTCTCTGTGCCATTGTCCTGTTGATCCAGACAACAATTACTACCTGCTTCCTACCCCATCCCAGCCTACTTTCATCCTCTCCATACATCTCTCCTTCACCCTCCAGAAAACCATTTTAACATGATAGCACCCTAGCTGTCCTGTCCCCAGGACTCAGAAAGAAAAGGGAGAAGATGGAAAGGCATTCTCCATCTGCATGGTGCTCCATGCTGTGGGAAATGCACCCCTCTGTCCCCAGGAGACTCAGGACCAGAGGACTTTGGTACTGCACCAGACCAACCTGGCCAGGCTTTCTGCCTGGTGAGATGGTGGCAGGTCAAGTCAGACAAGAGAAGGGCAATTCCACCTTCTCCAGAAAGCAAAGTATCCCTTCTCCCCAAATGAGCTCTGCACAGACATGACAGATCACAAAACACATGCACCATCTTCAACATACGTACATCCACAAGGACCCAGACATTACTCACAGACACAAGGAACTTCCAGGATCCACTGTTTTCCTGGGGAAATGGTGACTGCAAAGATGCCTGCGCTGCCAGGGAAGGAGGGACAGAAGAGCCAACACCTAATGTGACCTCCACCAACCCAAAGAGGCGTCACCCAGCAGTGCTGGATCTCGGATGCTCAGCCCATGGGAACTGAAGTGCATTTCAAGATGTTCTCAAGCAGGGATAGAGAGGTATCCTTGTGGCTCTTTTTCCTTGGCCACACTGGATCCTTGGGCTGGGGTCCCCGACAGCTGCCAATAAATACTTACATGGGAATTCCTCCTTGTCAAGACTCAACCTGTAGCATGCAACACAGCCTACCCCACAAGCAGCACCATAGGAGGTGGCTGGCATGCCTGAGCAAACAGGAACAGAAAGGGGAGCCTTTACACACCACTTCCTTTGGTTTTGTCTGGATCCCAGAGCTGGCCTGGGACCCTGTGCTCATGTTGCGTGGTGCCTATTGCAGCTCCTCCAGTCTCCTCTGAATTTGGCACATACAAGGCTGTGTTGGCACTGACGTGGTCTGTGTGGCAAAGCAGGCAGGCAGACCTGTAAAACATTGCTGAAGGGATGAGAGACTTCACTTATAGGGCTGCTGGCTTCCCTGTGCCTGTCCTCTACTGTGACACTCTCCTCTCGCACCCCATGCAAAACTGGAAATGGCTAAAGTCTGTGGGTGGGGGAAGACTCATGAAGAGCAGTTCCCACGTTTCCTCCTTGTTCAGACTCTTTCCATGATATAAACCTAGAGTGGCCCCAGCAAGGTGGGTATAATGGGGTCTGTTGTACACTGGGACCCACATCCTAAAGCACACAGCACGTTTACAACCGGGTTACATGTGCATCGTCCAGTACCAGTTTTCAGAGCAACTCTGGGTACCTTTCTGTTGACGCAGCCTCTTTTGCTAAGGACTCCTGTGAGCTCAGTATGTGGCAATCCTCTTGATGCACTTGAGGGGGGCAAGGCGGCAGACTGCCTGTTTGGCAGAGAGGAGTAGAAAGCCTCAGGAAGCTCACCAATATCTATGCTGCTACAGAGCAAACCTCAAAGCTGAGGCTGGGAATAGGGAGCCCAAGCCCTGCTTCTACATGCCTGTTTTCAGCTACCAGCATCAACCTTGTGACTCCAAGGTCCCATTCCCAGCCTTGCATCCCTGCCAGGATTCTGTTTTCAAACCTCAACTAGGGTTGGAGGGCTGGGGGCCACCAAGAGATGGATTTTATGATTCTGCCTAATGACTCCTACCTGGCTTTCAGCTGGGTCCATCCTCCTTCCATTGAAATTCTTTAGTCCCTTCCTTCCTCCCTCCCTCCAAGTTCATCCCAGTACAGACTTCTTTAAACACAAATACCTACTTCGAGTACAGCACCTTCACCATTCCTCAGCACTACCCACACAGGGCTGTTCTTCCTAAAGCACCAAGATCCTGCACACCACCACCACTCCACTGGCAAAAGTGCTGGGCTTTCCATATTTATTTCTCATATTAATCAGTGCTTAATATTCCAATAGGATGGCATGCAGTTCAAGCATTCTTTTAAGAGGAGGGCTGTGGGATTTAATGTGGGGATACCTGAAGTGCTATAATAGAGCATCCACCTAACTCTACAGGGCACAGTACCTAATTCTCATCTTTGAGATAACTACTGTACTGCAAGTGGACAGTGACAGGAGGCACTAACTGCAGTTAGTCTATAGACATTGCTTCAGAAACCACAGATATGAAGGTTCTATGTATGCACAGACACTGTGTCACTCTGTACCCCTGTAATACCTGATCCCAGAGGAAAACCTTTTCTGCAGTGGTTTTGTCTGGAGCTTTAAGTCATGTTAAAATTCATGTGCCTTGAGCCGCTGAAGCTCTTCCCTTCTGGGCAGCAGAGTGTGCACTCCCCCCAAATCCATCCTCTTTTGGCAAAAAAGGAAGAAGGCCTCAAGCTGCAGGAATTCACATCTCTCTTTCATACACAGTCTGGCTGACTCCAGGGCTGGCCAGTTTCCAGTCACAATCCCACTGTATTGCATAAATACCTACAGATTGGAGATGGCAGCAAGTGGAAGCTCCCCATACATCAAAGAGATTTTCCCCGAGGCTGGACAGTCATGAGTGGCAGGGTGTGTGGGAGAGTATGGGCAAGTATCTAGTCCAGTGGGTCCCTCCAGTGCTTTGGAAGCGCTGGAGATGGAAGGCAGCTGTATGGAGTCCCCTATGACAAGCTGCAGAAACTGCTGAAGGAGAGGGTGAACTGAGAGTTTGCTGAGGTGAAAGCCATCCAGCTGGCCTTGGACACTGCTGAATGAGAAAAGCGGCCAGTACTTTACCTCTATACTGACTCATGGCTGGTGGCAAATGCCCTGTGGGGGTGGCTGCAGCAATGGAAGCAGAGCAGAGGTAGGCTGCTGCACCTTGCTGTGGCAAGATATTGCTGCCTGGGTGCAGAACTTGGTGGTGAAGGTACGCCATGTAAATGCCCATGTACCCAAGAGTCAGGCCGCTGAGGAACACCAGAACGACCAACAAGTGGATAAAGCTGCAAAGACTGAAGTGGCTCAGATGGAATTAGAGTGGCAACATAAAGGTGAATTATTTTTGGCCTGGTGGGCCCATGACACTTCAGGCCACCAGGGCAGAGATGCAACATATAGATGGGCCCGTGATCGAGGGGTGGACTTAACAATGGACACTATTGCCCAGGTTATTCATGAGTGTGAAACGTGCTGCAATTAAGCAAGCCAAGGGGTTAAAGCCTCTTTGGTATGGAGGATGATGGTTGAAGTATAAATATAGGGAGGCCTGGCAGATTGACTATATCACACTGCCACCAACCCACCAAGGCAAGCGCCATGTGCTTACCGTGGTGGAAGCAACCACCGGGTGGCTGGAAACATATGCTGTGCCCCATACCACTGCCCCAAACACTATCCTGGGCCTTGAGAAACAAGTCCTGTGGCGACACGGCACCCCAGAGAGATTTCTGGAATAACCTTATAGACATTTGGGCCAAAGAGCATGGCATTGAGTGGGTATATCACATCCCCTACCATGCACCAGCCTCTGGGAAAATCCAGTGGTACAAGGGGCTGTTAAAAACTACACTGAGAGCAATGGGTGGTGGGACCTTCAAACACTGGGAGTTACATTCTTTCCATTCTCCTTCCCATCTCTCCTGGAGTGAGGGGTGAAAGACTGACCTCAAGGTTTCCACGAAACAGTGCCATGAGATTCAAAATCATCCTGGGAGCACTCACAGCTGTGCCAACAGATCCTGCCCTGGACATAAACGATGAACAGACCAAAAACCAAAGCAAGAACATGGACTGCATATGTTTAGCAGGCAAGGGAAAGGGCTAGAAGCTCATCTTCAGCATTAGGAAAGTTTGTGTCATCAGCAAGGTGGCCAAGTGGACCTCAGTGTTACCAGGGCTCTGGCCACCCCTGGAAGCTTAGCTACTACTGGTTTTGTTGCTGGGGCTCTTTCCCAGGCCCATAAGGATATTCAGAATTGGAATGGTAGCTCTATGAACAATCAGACTACAGAGGGGGAGCAAAAGCTGACCAAGAATTCAGACCGGAGGAGACAACAGTGAAACGTAAGAGACTTTAAAAACTATCACCTGCATGAGATTAAAACATTAAAAAAACCCCAGAACACAACCAAACAAAACCCATATCACTGCAAGGACAAGCAACTTCCTTCCCTGGAAGAGTGACTTCTTCCATATTCCACACCAGGGATCTCACCGAGTTGACCTTCTAGGCAAGACAATCACAGAACAAGTAGTATGTGCAAATCCTTCCAGAGGACAACACGCTTTCCAACATGACCGTCCCTGCAAGATCCTTAAGCTTGGCCTCAACTACTAATGTGTCCCTGTGCCTTTGGGCCAGAATGGGCAGGCAGGCAACAGAAAGATGCTATAGCACCAGTTAACAAAGTTCAATGCAATTTTCAATGCATTAAGCCAAAGGATTGTCACCAAACTTGCCTTCCATGCAAGTTTTGCAAAGAGGGTAAAGCTACACTCCAGCTGCTTCTGTCCTCATGGTGCCTTTTGCATTCACTCCTTGCCTGAATTGTAGATCTTCTGAACTGTGGCACGTGTGAGCTCCAGATCCTCTGGGTACCGAATTTCTAGCTCAGTGTTTGCTAGGTAGTGAATGCCAGTAAACTCTGAGAAGTAGCGGCCGATGTCAGGATGAGGGATCTCCCGAGGCTCAGAATTGTAGTCCAGGTTCTCTGTTAGGAAAGGGAACAAGGGGTTATCACCTCATAAAACGGCCTACTGCAAGGCAATAAATCCTGCATCTCTCTTAAGTCTTGTTTCTGTCTCTACAAACACCACATCTTGACTCTTTAAAGACAAAAAGCTAATCCAGGAAACTACACAGAGTGCACCACTACAGTTGCTCCGTAGCCTCATGTCCTAAGAGATGCTGACCCCATCTACTAGCAGTATGAAAACTGTTTTATGCCTGAGACTACACTGTCTGGCATCAGGTTAAAGTAGCAGGATGCTGGCCTGCTCCTACTCATTCAGAGGTCCTGGTTGTAAGCACAGGGAGAAGCTGCCACAGTGAGCTCCCTGCCACAAACCCCATGAGAGATCCAGTTGCTAGAGGAGATCCTTCTCAGTTGCTCCAAGGGGAGGCTGACTGCACAGGGTTGTCCTGGCGGAGGAGCTGAGTGCTTTCTAGCTCTAAGTCACCAGCCTGGTTTCAAGCATCTCACACAGCAAAATGAACTCCCCTAAATCCAAACTTCTCCGAGTTAAGAGAAAAATCCCCAAGAACACCACACTGATTCCTTCCCAGGGCAGCCCGTTTCCTCCTCTGCACAGGATAACCTGACTAAGCACAACAGTAAACAGTGCAGAAGCACTGGCATTAAAACACAAAGGGAACCCAAGCTGAGGGCCCCTTTGCTCCTGCAGTGTTTGCATAAAGCAGTGTGACTGGGAGGCAGCCCAGCACTAAATCACATGTTTAGGTGCCCTGCAGCAGTTCCCAAATGATGCCAGTTCTACCAGCACGGTGCCAGACACACAGGTAGAAACCAAAGCTGCTGTAAGTCCCAAAGTCTGACTGATCTGCAAGGTAGGGTGAGAACGAGATGGGATGTGTTCAGGAATAATTCATGTCTCAAACTATTCAGTTCACTACAGACAGCACACAGAAGTTGTATTAATCCATACAGGTGCTTTGAAGCTACTGTAGGTCTGTGTGCAGCCAAAAGCACAAGCACTTTCTAACACTTCAGTGGGCTGGTGCAGTCCTTGCAAACCACCTTGTTTGTATACTGCACCACTGCAGAAGACAACTGACACTCCAATATGCTCTGCAGAAGCACAGCTGAGCACTGAGCTGTGAACAGAGGGAAAAACGCTGTGATGAAACAGAAGCTGGCAGGGGAGAAGAGTCTGAGTTTGGCACTAGGTGGGGAGCCTGAGAAACATGCTGAATAGCATGTTCTGAGCCAGGTACCCGGCCTGGGCTGCCACAGAGCAAACAAAAAAAGCGAGAATGGACAGGTAGACATCAAACTCACTGTATGAAGCAGGTGGTTTAGAATTAGCTACCGCTCAACCTACAAATATACAGGAAGGACTCAAACTGAGGTGCAGTTATTTATAATAAGCTTGAGGTTATTTCTGAACTGCTTAGATAAAACTCTGCATTACTTAAGATTCTTTCAGTAAAAAACTATCACCCCCTCCACAAAGTCAGGTCAGTAAGTTATGAAACTGACCCTTCCCAAGTGATCTGAGGATCTGTTTTAGAGGGGATTTCATCAGCAAGATTTCAGCAAGCAAGGACAAACCTTTCAATAGCAATATCAAACCAGTTATATGCCACAGACACAACAGTGTCACCTACAGCTTGGCTAAAATACACTGTCCTCTAGAATCAGTATCATATTTTTTGTCTAATTGCTTATAAACAGGTATGAGATGCATATTTTATTATATATTATGCATAAATTATTCTATAGTTCTTCCCTGTGAGGGTGCTGAGGCACTGGAAGAGGGTACCCAGAGAAGCTGTGGCTGCCCCATCCCTGGCAGTGTTCAAGGGCAGGTTGGACACAGGGGCTTGGAGCAACCTGCTTTAGTCGAAGGTGTCCCTGCCTGTGGCAGAGGGTTGGAACTGGAGGAGCTTTAAGGTCCCTTCCAATCCAAAGCATTCTATGATTGTATGACTCTATAGTTTAGTATCAAGAATTTTTGGTCTTTAAGAGCCTGAGAGGTCAAGTACTGCCTAATAAGAGCCATAAGAAGCTGCAATATGCCCAGTCCATGCTTCATCTACTGAATATAAAGCAAGTCTCAGGACACCAGGAAACACCTGCACTTTACACCTGCAAAGGTAGGAGAGCGTCCCCTCCTGTATAAACACCTCTTGGTCACATATAAGGGATTAGGACGTTCTAGAGAGCACCCCTAGCGAAAGAGCTAAACTGCATTTTGTTCAGCATTTCCACTCCAGCAGCTTCCACGTCTCTTAGCAAAATACAATCAGGCTGTGCAGCTGTCCTGCCAGCTGGATGGGATGCCTCTGGATCAGAGGGAGAAGAGCAAACATGAGGCAAAGGAACACTGTTTACAGCGTACAGAGTTAGATTTATTATTTTTCCTTTTGAACCTCAATTCAACACTTCCTCCTGTGTCCTAACCTCATATTGTGTCCAACAGACAAGAATTTCCTTTCCTATGGTATACTGCGTGAAGAGTGACAAAGATTTCTACATTGCTTTGCAGTTGCAGAGACACTAATTTTTGTCCTGTTTTTACGCAAGGTGGCACTAAATCCATGCTACCTGTGCTCTTGGCACATAGTGTCTTGATGACAGCTGCTCAGAACCATGCCCTGACAAGTGAAGCTTATTTGCTCCCTCACTAAATCCTGTTTTGAGGTCCTGCCCAAAGCACAATATGATTTCAAAGAGCAAGAGCTACTGACAGAACTTCAGAGTGCAGTAAAAGATGAGTGACTTCTTTCAAAAGCAACAATCATGGTTTACACAATAAAAACAATCACATCCAAAACACGCTTCTTGGGCAAGAAGAGATTACACCAGAGTGGTCCTTAAAATTAATTCATGGAGAGCAAACAAAGCAGGCCATGATTCAAAATCATTTTCCTTCCTACCTCAATCTTAACTTACAGTTCATGTTTCATACTTAAAAGAGTTAATCCCTTAAACATCCCTTTCTCCTAATGTACTTCTAAAATGGATAGTAAACACAGGAGACTTACTCACCTTGAGCAGCATATCTGCAAGAGCCATCTTCCACTAGCACATTGTAGAAAGGCTGGTGGGGGCCATGTGGAAGGCTGTGGACGTTCATGTTCCGGATCCATTCATGCCCCATCATGCAAGCAGGATCCCATCCGTAAATCACACAGTTGTAGCCATATCTAAAGAAACAGCACACCAAAGACTGTGAGAGCTCCAGAGCCAGCTCTTGTCTCTCAAGACTAATACAGCACAAACAGGACAGGAGCCTCCTGTCAGGTGGCACAAAAAGATTGTGTGTGTATTTGGAGGCTGGAGAAATGACCAGGAGTGACTGGATAAACAGACAGGAACAAACAGCTGAGGACAAAGGAAAACTAAATGTGAGCAAGGAAAAAAGAGAATGGGAAAAAGACTCTAAGCCAGCAAACAGAAGAACACGAAACAATAGAGAGGGAATCGACCATCCTACTGTGTTGTGCAATGACTCTGTGCCCATCACACCGATGTGGTAATCCCAGTACTGAACTCTCAGAACCAAAGCCATCTTATTTTCAGCATATTTATGTGATTCATCATGAGGTACTGTAACTGTCACTACTGATGCCCTTAAATATGTCCACATGTCGAGTCAGAGAACTAGCTGAAGCAACACAGGGCTAGCATGTCACTCTGACAGAGTAGTAGAGACAGGGACACAAAGCCTCTGTGCAATGCAGGAAGAGGGGATAATA